TTGAGAAGTCACAGCTGCGATGGTTTGGCCATGTGTTGCGAATGCCTCCAGAAAGGAAGGCTAAGCAACTAATTCTTGCGAATCCGACCAGCAGAAGGCCCAGGGGACGGCCAAGATTAACCTGGTGCAAATATATGGAAGGAGTCTATTCCGGACTCCATATGTCTTTTGCTGAAGCTCAGACTCTGGCACAGGATCAAGAAAACTGGAAGCTGTGTCTGACGTATTTGCCTCCGTAACCCGAAAGTAGAAGCGGCCGTGGAAGATGAAGATGTTGAATTATTCAAGAATGTTAAAAAAAGCAAAACATCGAACAGGGAATAGCATTAATTTTCCTTGTGAAGAAATAAAAAACTTAAACTGTCTCCCGTTATGCGTTACGACGGACCGAAGACAAGCGACTAATCATTACCAAGATTCGTAGAGTGCCGAACTCACGCTGAAAAAGGCTGTGCTGCACGTCTCAGAAAATTCATAGTTGGATAGCTTTAGGGGAAAACTGATTACAAAGAAAATGAGCCGCACATATCAACAAACGGCAAACCAACTCTTATTGGAATGCAATCATATCAAACATTACACAGGGCAGGAAACAGCGGCAAATGATGACAGTGGAGGGATGTTGTAATCCATTGAGATCGAATAAGCCAAGTCAAATCAGGTGTAAGCAGATGATTCTGGCAATGCTGTCAGGCATGAAAACGTGTTGGAAACACGGATATTTAAATTCTACTTTAATTCTTCGATGCACTGAATAAAGAATCGAAGAATTTGTGCGAAACTATTATTCCAGGAGGAAAACACTACTCTTATAAAATTCCTACGGTCTGCTTCTTCGAATTCTTTAAACATTATCTATTTTTCAACTCTCTTTAAAAAAGTACATATTAGACGTTATATGAGGCAAGCGAACTAAAGTAATATCCCATAGGTGGGCCTGAGGAAAATCGCGTAAGTAGGGGTACAAATTTGCATATAAATACATATAAATTGTTTAATTGGGACCAAGGGCGAACAAAAACACTATTTTAGAAGAAAAACATTTAATAAAATTGCAGTTCTTTATACATATTAATACAAAATATCAAAAAATGAGTTACGTAAAATAGTTATTTCGGTGTATATGGCTTCATAAAATCTAACAAATTCGCCTGGCGACACAATTTCTTCTTTTTTTCACGCAGAGTTTCTTAGCAGCAAGCTAATAAGTTTTTTATTCCTTGCCTTGTAGCTATAATGCGCTCTTCGCTGGAGTCTGTTTTCTAAAATATTTAAGCTCTTTTCAACTGAGCTGAGACCTTCTGTCAAGCCTGCAATTTTCATGTGCTTTCCTGGTGGAACTGGGTTTGAAGTGTCGGATACTTCATGACGTTTGCTCACGCATCTCTATCAACTCCTCAACTGTCACTTCCTTACTATGTGAATTCAACAAATAGTTGACATCATCACGACTGACTTTCAAATCTAATTGCCTGGCAAGAATAACAACTTCTTATATTATGAGCGACATGATCAGTTTCTGGCGTTATTTCTGTCTCGTTTTTGAAAAAATGAACAGTTTCTTCCAGACACCATTCAATGTTTTTTAGGAAATTTCATCCCAAGATTATCCAGTGATTCTTACGGCATCTAAAACATTGAATTCACGTTGTAGTGAACTATTCTGAACCGTTGCCACTATAGGAGAGCTGGGTCTAAAGACTACGTCCTCGATGTTCAAATCGATCTCATTTCAGTGCCCACATGCGGTCATGAGTCATGGGCCATGACTGAAAAACTTCGATTCTGGGTACAAGCGGTTCAAATAGGTTTCCTGTCACGAAACGCTGACCTCATGCGTCTCGACATGGTTCTGGGTACAGATATTCCAGAAAGCCTCAATCGGACACAGCCACTGCTACAGCAGATTGAGAAGATACTGCTGCGATAGTTTGGGGCTCGTATTGCGAACGACTCCAGAAAAGAAGGCGAAGTATCTAATAATTGCCTAACTGTCCGGCATAAGACCCCGGGAACGGCCAAGATTACCTTGGGCAAATGTACTGAAGGATTCTGTTCTAAACTCCCGTTATATTCTACCGAAGCTGAAACGCTGGCACAAGAGAAAAAAAGGTGGAAGCATTGTCTATGCGTCTGCCTTTGCGATTCGAAAAGAAAAACGGTCCTGGAAATTGAACTGAGTAAACAGAGCGAAAGCGAAACAGAAGAAAATCGAATCGAATAGCAATAGTATCAAATACAAGAAGTCATTGAATGCATGTTGGGTGCAACTGATCGTCTCAAATTACTTTCTTAACCCAAATTAATCGTTTGACTGGAGTACGGAAGAAACTCCTGGACCCTGGTGAAAATCAAGAAACTGTCAACTTGAGACAGAGCTACAGCTTAAGAAAGGGCAGCATTGTTGGCAAATACATACGGTCGTGAGACCTGGGTCTGAATCAAGAAAGATGACGAACGGTTCATAATGCAAAAACAAGCTATGGAGGAAATAATGATCGGAATCACGAACAGGTCGCGAAATGAACAAATAAACAGACATACAGGAATTAGAGATGTGAAAATTCTGCAAAGGAAGATAGACAGGTCACATAGCATGAATGATAGATGAAATTAAGCGATGGCAGATCGGTATCCAAGGGATTATGGTACTCAAAAGAACAACTAAAAAGCCTCATATCAAATGGTACGATGAGGAATTATATAGAAGCCTGTGTGAAAATTCCATGAAACAACAAGGCGTGGATACTATTATAATTCTTGTCAGCAGCGACAAGGATCTATAAAGAAATTCTTACTTGATGCGAAAATTAGAACAGAGCTGCAATCTTAATTATGTATTAGGTTAACCAGCGATTACTAGTGACCTAACTTAATAGTCATTACTTTCGCAGTTTAGTTCGTCGTCTCCGTCTTGGCAGTCGTGATCTCCGTCGCACACCCATGACTTTGGCAGACAGCGGTTGGATTTGCATCGGAACTGGTCGACGCTGCATGAGTGATTATCTAAAAGAATAATAGAACGAAGAATGAAACGACGGCAGCGAGAACGATGTCAATTATTACAACATGGCCCGTCGATTGAGTTATCTTCATCGGACCCATCCTTGCAGTCATCGTCGCTGTCACACACGTACTTCTCATCGATACACCTGTAATTACGCCTACACTCGAACTGGTCTCCGGGACAGCGCCTTTTGTGCGACCATTCGTCATCAACTGAAAGTAGCACTTCAAGCATCGTCTGGTCGAATAGCGGCAACAACAGATCAGAAAGTACCGGAGCATGACTTCGGGTTCTTGTTGTTCACAGCATATCCGTCGCCACAACCGCAAGTCACTTGTTGCTTCACGAAAAAACAGAACTGCTCGCACCCGCCGTTTTCTAAGCTGCACGCGTTCGTGCCTAGTAGAAGTCAATCGGATCACAAACGAAAGAGCAACAAAACACCGTCTACCCTTTTGCGTTGTCTTATCAAAAACGTGAATTTCGAATAGAGGCGAAGAATCCTCGAACATAAGTACTGGCTCCTTGCCGATCAGAGAAGCTTTCGATGGTGCAACACTGACGCGTAAGATGGCACCTTTATGAAATTCCGTCCAGTAGAGGTATCCATTGAGGTAAGCCAATCCGTAGGGATGAACGATATGAGTTGATGTGACAATAAGCTATAAACACTTCATTTTATATAATCAGAAATCTGGTCTTGGAGGAGTCATTCGTTATTTCACATACTCTGGGGTCCAAACAACTCATTATATCTATGCGGTAATAAGTGAAAAGTACCAGATACTGAAACAAAGCTTTTAATGAACGCGATGCGGCTGTATTGAGGAAAATGACGCGAGGCATCTGGCACTGCAGGTGAGCAAATATTATGTAGTTGTGGCCAGCTTAAAAACTCCGCGCTGCCGGTCCCAAGCCCGGTTGAGAAAGGACGAGAGTTGGAGACCGTGGCAGATCTCCGTAAAATTCAGCCACCTGCCACTCATGGTATTGACGCCATTGAAAATTATACCGGCTCGGTCGTCGCCGCAGTTACCAAAGGCCGCGCAAGTTGTTCGGGGACAGAGGAAGACTGCGAAAAGTCGGCGATCAGAATCTGCTCATTGCCCTCTGCCAGCCGAGAGCGTAGCAGCACAACAATGTCTGACGAAGACCGACGGAACGACGACGAAAACACCAGACAGCAACGGAGTCGCTACTCTTCTGAACGGATGAGGCAGACTGCACGATGCCATTAGAGCAGGTCAGAAAAGGGTCTACGACAAAGACACCGCCAGGGGGAGCATAATGTCGGAAACTGGAACATATCCTCACTCAAGGGAAAAGAACAACAGTTAGTTGATGAGGCCATAAAGTACCAACTCGATACTGTTGGACTTCCGTTAACGAAACGTCAAGGTTCTGGACTCCTGAACCTCAGCGGATGGAAGATATTCTATTCAGGCTTCGATATCACGACTCGCACTCAGGCCGGTGTTGGTGTTCGGGTAGAAACCAACATCGCGGATAGAATTATTGATTGGAAGCCTGTCAGCGGCAGGTTGGTAATCCTCCGACTAAAGTTACAACAGGCCAAACACTGACCTTGGTAGAGGACTGTGCGTTTAACTG